AGGGCCAAAAAAAAAAAAAAAAAAAAAACTGAGAATTTATCCCCAACCAAATGCACTTTTCAGTGTTGGCCCTGTTGGGGGTTAACCTAGGGCTGAAAAGTGGGGGTTCCTGTTTTAACCACTTGTGTGGCTTGGTCAACTGGGTGGACCGTGATTTTTGTGACTGTGCACGGCCCTGCTGCTGTTCCGACCAAAAAACGGTCACCCACTGCCCGATCATCCAGTTTGATCGCTCTCAGTCTGCTCTGCACCCATCGAAGTTTTTCATTGACGGATACTGCAGCTGCAGCTTGGGGGAAGACAAACTGGATTGCCTTGCGACAGTGTACTATGAGGTTGCGATTCGCCACCGCCTGAGGATGGAATATGGCATGAGGGTATATGAACCCTTCCTTCTCAATATACTTTTTGATCGGCCGAATGCGCAACTTCTGGATGAAGTGCGCTTTCATCAAGCTCATGGCGTCCAGGGCCAGTGGCTCTTCTGACGAGTATCTGCTTTTTCTTCACGTGGTTTGTTTCGCCCTTGCATTTGGCTCGGATACTAGTACCTGTTCAGCGCGATTGAGGCATCCTGGAGATTGGTAGTTTAAGGGGCAGTGAGGCTTCCTAAACCACAAGCATTTGGCTCGAATACTAGTACCTGTGCATCACAATTGAGGCATCCTGGAGATTGGTAGTTTAAGGGGGAGTGAGGCTTGCTAAACCACAAGCTCAGGGAACAGCTGTAAGTTTTCTGACAGGAGCCAACACTCTGTCAACAATTCTACCCTGCCGGTAGTTGGGATGTGCACCCACCCACCCAGCGCCCCCCCCACCCCCCCGAACCCCAACACACACACACGGCGAACAGGGGCTGTTGTTGAGAAAATCTAAAACACACACACACAGCGAACATGACAACACACACATACCAAAAGTGGAAATACAAATGCATTACAAAGAGTGTGGATAAGCGACCATCAACCACAAAGGAGGGAGGATGCGGCCAAATCTGTTTGACCCTTCTCAGGATGGTCCCTCCAACTAAGGGAAACCGCACATGACCGGTACTTGGGAGTCGGGACCCTTCCTTCATCCTCTGTGGGCTTCTGAACACATTTGAATTTGGCCGGGCGCAGGCTTCTGAATGCATTTGAATTTAGCCAGGCGCAGGCAGGCCTGTACATCCACAAAGGGCCCGCATGTTAACCAGCGTACCTTGCTCACTTCGTGGTTTGAATCTGCTTGAGAAATACTCCACTGCAGCAGCCCTCCGGAATAGGACTTCACTTTCCATTCAGACTTGTCCTGATTTGCCACTCTTATGAGTCCTTGATAGAGAACTGCATCAACTTAGACGTATGAACCTTATTCTAGTATATCACCGGGACTGCCATGATGATGGCAACCAAGAAGAAGAAAAGGTGAAAAAGAAGAACGGAGAAGAGGACCCGGACGAAGCTTCTTTAGTCCCCTCCCCTCAGAATATTCGCTATTAGGAAGAGCAACATCTGCTCAGTCAATCCTCTGGTTTTCAGGGCAATCAATGCTGGCAGGTTCCCTCCAGACACCATCCAGTTTTCCTTCTTTACCAGACCGAATCTACTATGTAAGGGACGCTGGACCCGTTTTCCAGCAGGTGACGCTCCCCACCAATAGACGGAGCCTCCCCCCAGGTGCTAGCGATGTCTGTTCTAGCAGCACCGCTAGCACCGGAGGGTTTTTTTTTCTTTTAAAAAAAAAAAAAAAAAAAACATCTGCATCAGGCTAGCTGGGAGCCAACAGAGCACACTCCCCACTCTTTTTTTATTTTCCTGATGGACAACTTGAATGGACCAGATATTGAAGTGATCAGAACAGATATGACACTTGATCTCAGCCGAAAGGCCGGGAAAGGTATGCCCGGTGTTGCCCTCCTCCCATCTCTCCCCCACCGTCTCCAGACGGCTAAGGAGATTGCGCAGGAGATATAGTGGAGCAGAAAGTAGGGGGCTGCAGAAAATGAATGACCTCTTGCTCATAATATGTTCTTCCCCGGAGCCAATAGAAAAAACTCCCCTCACAGGGGATGAGCCTCCAGCCGGAGAGAACGTCACCATTCAGGACGCCCCACTGGAGGAGGTGAGGGGGGAGGAGGGGCCTGTCCCTGAAATGAGGGTGCTGGGAGGGTGGCTGGGAGTGAGACTCAAGACCGTTTCCAACAGTAGCTCCGTAGACCCAGTGGAGCTCGTGATATGAAGAACCAGAAGAGTGTGACAATAAATTTTATAGCATGCCATCGTGTTGTGTACCGTAGTGCTTTGATCGGCCAACCAGCCTCGATAAGAGGGGAGAAGTGGCTGAAAGGTGAACGGTGGGATCTGGAGGGCGAGGCGGCAGAGTAAAAGCCTTAGGGGTGTGGGAGATGATGAGGAATTAGGAGGGACGACAACAGGGGGAGCAGGAGGTGAGAAGGGGTGGGGGAAGGCAGGGGGGAAGGGGGTTGGGGGGAACATTGAAAGCTTGGCCCACTTCCAGCACGTGGGCACCCCAGCATTGGACTCAAGGATCAGTGCTTTCTTTTTGTTTGTTTGTTTGTTTCTTCCTTTAAGGAGTGAAATCACAACTTCCCTCTGGATTTTCCCCTTTGATCAGACGCTCTCTTGCCTGCTGATCCGGGTTTTGGGCTTGCTGAACTCTTCCCGGATGCTTTTCCGGGCGATGATGCCCGGGGTGTTCTACTCCCTCCTCTTTGTCCCCCACCCCTCACGCTTCCTCTTCCTCTTGGTGTCCCTGCCCCCGACCCACCCCCTCCTCTTGTTGAACCCCTGAGACCCCCGTCTTGGACCTTTGCTATAATCCATTGTTGAGGCATTATGTCCACCCCGGGGCCTGCAGGAGTGACATCCACAATGCGGATGGTGTAGGTTCCCCGCTTTTCAAATGCATTTTGCATCTCTAATCCTGAGAAATGTGCCACTCCTTTGTGTGTCCGTGCCTGTTGCCGGAGCAAAGGTGGTGATCCTTCTTCGACTCGAAATGACAAACTTTCCCCAAACGACACCTGCTGTTGCAGAGCTTCCACCTCTGGCACTGACGGGCCCCTACCCGCAGCAAAGGGGTTTACCCTCTTTCCTCTTGGAGTTCCTGGCTTTGATGATGTTGGTGTGGTTGCCTTTGACTTTGACGATGACCGCAGGCGACTCTTTTTTGTTGTAAAGCTAGCCTTAGCTTTCCCCTTTGAAGGAGCAGCAGCAACAGCTGTCCCTTGCTGCTGCTGCTGACCAATGTCTGTAACAGGTTCAATTACCTGAGGCTCTCCGATGTGAATGCTGATGGCCAATGTTCTTCCCGATTCGCAAGCCGCTACTCGAGGGAGGCGGGCGAGAAGTTCGAGAGAATGCTGTACACTATTTCTCAATGAATATTCCCCCTCAGAACCTGATGTAGCATCATTGGCATCATCATTGGTCAGCGCATTGATGTCTATCAGTAATGGGAGGTGTTCCTCCTCCTCCTCCTCCTCTTCCTTCTCCTCCTTCTCCTTCTCTTCTCCCACACCATCCAAGTTGCCTTCCACGAGCTTCCGCTCTGGCACAGGAAGTGCACAAGCAACAAAGATATCGGGGAGAAGCTGTTCATTTGCTGGCAGTTTCAGAACAGACACATTTCTCCTTCTGTCCACTTCTGCTGCAGTGCTTGCAACTGATAGATATGATGGGATCTCTGCAAAGCCAGATTTCCAAAAAACAGAACACGGCAGACATAGCAAGACTTAGTGAGAAATACAGAGAGGGCACACCAGTTCGTTTCTAGTTTTTCTCCCCCGTCTGTCAGCAACCACTCTTCTGGCAGTCAATTTTAGGGATGACACAGGCATTGTTCCTGAAGTTGAGGGTCGGGCTTTTGTTGATAGCTTCATTCTATCCGTGGGAAGCGTCCGAAGCAGCACATCCTGGCAGCAGTAATACATTTCCAGTATGTCCCAGCAGTTCCCACAATTCGCGACTCTGCTTTGTTACTCTGTTCGTTTTTCCCTCCCTCTTTCGACTTGTTGGTCCCATGTGGGGTTGCCATACTGCAAAGCAATCCATCCCCAGCAGGGCCATAGGAGGGGGGGGCAGGACCTGTAAACCTTCTAGTCTTGCCCAATCTTTTAACAGAAGAGTGGGGTGGTTCCCATCCCGGTGACATTGTGATGAATTTGCCAGAAGCCCCCTGGGTATGCGCCCACCCATTCAGTGAATGGGTGGCCACCTTAGCTCGGGAACCAGAGTTGAAATAGCAACCGCCTCACTGGCACGCTAAGACACACATGCTTTTTTTTTCTCTTCTCGGTTGGGGAATACAGTCTGCAGAGCAGAAAGACCTGCACAGTGCACAGCTGTTACTTCAAAAAGTAAATTGATATTGACCATTGGGAGGGCCCAGAAGAAAACTTAAAAACAAACGTCATGCGAACAAGTCATGATCTCTTTGTTTTTTGTTTTCCGATGTGGCTGTTCCACAACAATGGGCCGGAGCCCCCTTAAAAGAAAGAAGTTTGAATGTGGAAAAGCTAGGTTAGAAGCAAGGGGGCGGGGACAAGTTGCTTCGTGGGGAGTAGGGTAGAGGGAGGCTCGTCTCTTGCTGGGGCTGATGAACTGACGTCAACACGGTGGTTCTAATTAGCGGAAGCAGCAAGGGGAGAGGTGGGATGGTAAGAGGAGTAAGAGGTGGATGAGACTGGGAAGGGCGAAGAAACATCAAGAACCATCATTTACATCATCATCACCATCATCATCATGATCATCATCATCGACTTCTCAATTCTTTTCTATACGTGAGGTTGTAACAATCCTCTCCACAAGGTTGCTGACGTGGAGGGCAGGATGGATTGAGTGGGGAGAGCTCTTTTCCGCAGGGGAAACACAAGGTGGGAAGTGTTTGCCCGTAGGGAGTAAGGGCGGACAAGGGGGACTGTTTAACTCTGGGGCTGGGAGAGATGCAAGGCGGAACAACATCTACTAGCGGTGGCAGAGTAGAACAGAGATAGCTCGAGGTAGGCTTTTGGGGGGAACAGCCTTCTTCGAGGGAGGCTTTCCTATTACCGGGGCTGTGAGGAACCGCTCAACAACAGAGCGGTTCTGATTAGCGGAGGCAGGAATGGGAGAGGAGGGGTGGTAAGCGGGGAAACAAGGAGAGGTGGACAAAAGAGGGTCAATCAACATCAAGTATCATCATCACCACCATCATTATCAACATCATCATCTTCATCATCATCAGATTGGTTGTTTGCTCAGGATCACACTGTTATCAGATCCGAATTCCGAGGTGACATTCTAATATAGCTGATTCCCTAATTGAGCTTTTATTGTGTTTTTGCCCAGGTTGAATAGAAGCCAGAACGATGCTGGCCGGCGCTGGGGTATCGCCCTGTAACCTTCATAGGAGCTTGAGGCCTTGGATAGAGATCTGGGGATTGCTGAGGGTGGAAGGCAATCATAATGCTCGACCAAAGGCAACAATCTGGCCGACGAGGGTCGGCGCTGGGGTGGGTGGCACCCCCTTGTAACCTAGCTAGATTGGGGTGTGAGATCGGGTAGAGGCTTGGTTGGTACACAGTATTGGCTCGGTTGGTATGGATACCTGAGATAAGGGTTAGGGTAGTATGTGAGTTCTGAGTAGATAAGCATTCTGAGTAGTCAGCATCAATCTCTAGCTTATTATCTCAATCATCTTGAAGTGTTC